ACTTGGTGTTGTCAGCACCACGCTCAGCCAGTGAGCTAACCGGCCATCCCTATATGGGATCCGAACCTGCGGCCTTGGTGTTATCAGCACCGCACTCTCCCGAGTGAGCCACGGGCTGGCCCAAGTTTGAGCTTTTTAAAAAAAGTTTTTCTCTCAAACTAGTGGCCAAAAAATGGCTAAGACAATTTTGGTGCTTTACCTGTTTGTCTGCAAAGCTAGAGAATTTGACATATCACTAATTACAGCCTCCAACCATATCAACAAGACTCCCCAAAAGAAGGACCAATGGCCACTCTTGAAAGAATTTAAAATATCAGAAGATAAAAAAGACTGTAGGATTTGGAAGCTTGTGTTGTCTTTGCCCAATAAGCATTGCTTCATCTCCAAGTAGTATTCTTATATTAGCAATGGGCAGATTATTGGCTTTCCATACCCAATCATAAGTTATTACTTTAAATCAGCATTTGGAAAATTCAAGCATTTATGTAGTGGATATAAACGGAAATATGAAAATGTGTGCCAGCCTATCTCAATAAATTATAATATCTGTAATTCTCAAGGAAAGCACTTTTGCTTTTACTTAGAAAGGGTTTCAGATTTGCTTTATGGGCTTCTGCTGTCTTCAGCACCTGATAAAACTTTAACCAGGGAAGCATTAAACACAGTGCAGTAGCTTCTGTCCAGGCTCCTCAGTTCCTTCCGGCAGCATTTATCAATGTAAGAATTAGGATGCTTCCTGCAGTGGCACCAGCTTCCGCAGAGCTGGAGCATGCTGCTTGGCCTTAAGCCCCAGCATGGTGAGGTTTCCTTCCTGCTAGGTCAGTAAAAGTTAGAGTGCTCAGGATTGTGTCCCAACTGGCTGCAGGCTGCAGGATTTGCCGAAATGTCTAGGAAAATCACCAAGGGAAGGAGTTAACAAATGTCGCCAGAATGAATCGGGTATTCACAGAAATTCTTGGCTACCTTTCAAATGTTAGGTTTCTGAATGCCAAGAGGGATTTGTCCTTTGAGTTGATATCATTAAGTCTAGGACATTCCCAAGAAGTGGTTGGAGTCTCAACTCTGACAGCCCAGGAAGGGAAATAAGCTGTATTGAGGACCAACCATGAGCCAGGCCCAGTACTACACCCCCATTTCTTAGATGATAAAACAGATGCGGAGTGGAAGAGTCACTTGCCTCAAGTTACACAGCTCAGAAATATTGGAGCCAGATTTTGAACCCAGCTGTCCCTAACTCTGTGGGAAGGCCCTTTGTACTAAACCATGGCACACCTAAAAATACAGAGGGAGAAAAAGGCTTCAGGTCTGCCACTACAGTCTGATCATCCCGCTTTATGAATTCTTTTTCAAAATGACATATCATGGCTATAATTTGGGCTCAGAAATGGCATTAAGGCGGTCTTATTCCTCCACTTTAGCAGATGCTTTGAGTACTCGTTGCTAAGTTGAGAACACTCCCAAGAGTTGGGGGAACCTTTCCTTTTTGGTGCCATTTCCATAAATAAGGTGTTTCTTGGCCTTCGATAGTATAGAGCTTTTCAGAAATAGTAAAAATTAAGGGTGTTCTGCATTTGAAAATGTCTGCCGCTTCACTGCTGCAGAAAAAGAAGTCTTCATATTTTAATAAATGTAGCCACCAGTTTTTTTCTCTGTGAGGATATGGTAGTTCAAAGTCCAGTGAATCTGGACTCTCTTGCTGATACCTGGAGGGGGTATGCGTGTCCCTATATATAAATTATAAATGCTATATGTGTGTATGTGTATATACATACATACATGCATACACACACATGCACACACAAATTATTTAAGAACTAAGAGAAACTCAAAGTAGCCCCCTCATTATCTTGCATACCACTGCAAAGGTTTCTGCCAGCACTAATTACAAGTACCACCAGATAATTGGAAGAAGAGTAACTCACTTGCAAAGGTTGTCAGCTCCTGAAGCACCAAGCCAAGGTGACAGCCCTGAAGGAAAGTGCACTTCACCCCTCTCTTAAGAAGTCTAATGGGGCCGGCCCGGTGGCGCACTGCTACAGTGCGCCGCTTGGGAGCGCAGCGGCGCTCCCGCCGAGGGTTCAGATCCCACATACAGACCAGTTCCCGCTCACTGGCTGAGCGAGGTGCGGGCGCAACACCGAGGGTTGCGATCCCATTGCCGGTCCCGGCCCGGTACAGGCGCGACACTGAGGGTTGCGATCCGTTGCTGGACACGATAAAAAGACAAAAAGGAAAAAAAAAAAAAGAAGTCTAATGTCGTGGGAAATTTGGATGCCCAGACATTTTGGTGACCTGAGAGTCTGACCTCTCCAGTTGGGCCTGAGGGCATAACTGCAGAATTCACAACCTTGTAGTAGTGGCAGGGCCTGGGAAGTCCTCTCCCCATATAGAAAATATTCTCCTGTTGATTCCTGAAATTATTCATTCACATAATGGCTATTGAATACGTGCTTTTCAGTAAGAAAATCAGTTGCATGTTTACTATGTGCCGAGCACATCCAGAATTTTTGTTTAAAAAAAAAGCGGTGGCGCTCCCGCCGAGGGTTCGGATCCCACATACAGACCGGTTCCCGCTCACTGGCTGAGTGAGGTGCGGGCACAACACCGGCGATCCCATTGCCGGTCCCGGCCCGGTACAGGCGCGACACTGAGGGTTGCGATCCGTTGCTGGACACGATAAAAAGACAAAAAGGAAAAAAAAAAAAAGAAGTCTAATGTCGTGGGAAATTTGGATGCCCAGACATTTTGGTGACCTGAGAGTCTGACCTCTCCAGTTGGGCCTGAGGGCATAACTGCAGAATTCACAACCTTGTAGTAGTGGCAGGGCCTGGGAAGTCCTCTCCCCATATAGAAAATATTCTCCTGTTGATTCCTGAAATTATTCATTCACATAATGGCTATTGAATACGTGCTTTTCAGTAAGAAAATCAGTTGCATGTTTACTATGTGCCGAGCACATCCAGAATTTTTGTTTAAAAAAAAAACAATCTCGGGCCGGCCCGTGGCTCACTCGGGAGAGTGTGGTGCTGACAACACCAAGGCCACGGGTTCGGATCCCATATAGGGATGGCCGGTTTGCTCACTGGGTGAGCGTGGTGCTCACAACAGCAAGTCAAGGGTTAAGATCCCCTTACCGGTCATCTTTTAAAAAAAAAAAAAAAATCTCATTATGGATCAAGTTCAACTCAGCCCTAAGAGAAAAAGAAGGGCCGGCCCGTGGCTCACTCGGGAGAGTGCGGTGCTGATAACACCAAGGCCACGGGTTCGGATCCCACATAGGGATGGCCGGTTCGCTCACTGGCTGAGCGTGGTGCTGACAACACCAAGTCAAGGATTAAGATACCCTTACCGGTCATCTTTTAAAAAAAAGAGAAAAAGAAGGCCCATAGGGGAGACTTCAGATTTCATTAATATTGGAGTGTTTCTGTAGCCCCCTACCCTAGCCTATTCCAAAAGCCATAAGACCAGGCAGTTCCTGCCTCTGGAGGCCTGCCTGGCAAGACAGTATCATTTGGAACTTAGAACACACCAGAAACAGCAGAACAAGGGCCAGAGTAGGAAAATGAAAATAAATGAAGACACTTGTGGGTACACTGATGCAAAAAAAAGCCACAGAGCCCATGCTAGGCTTGATATGACCTTGAGGGAACAGCAGATTTATACCTGATGGGAGTTAAACCTGACCAGTCTTTCTACAGTGACAGGCCACATTGCATGAGTGGGGATGAATCCATTGTCCTCTGCCGGTTTTCCTGTGCACAGTCACATTCCCTCCTTAGTCATTTTCCCCTTCCACCTTCACATTAAACAAGGGAACACTCAGTCTTTCAAGGGAATTACACATTTGAGTTAATGTTTCAGTATATCATTTTCATACTGTAAATTATTTTGTAAGAGATTTATTGCTATCCCAGGATGTTCGGACTCGGCACTCCTGTGCATTTGGAAATCAATAAACTATTACTGGAAATACCATTTGTCTCTCAAAGTTGTGCA